AGAAGAAGAAGAAGAAGAAGAAGAAGAAGAAGAAGAAGAAGAAGAAGAAGAAGAAGAAGAAGAAGAAGAAGAAGAAGAAGAAGAAGAAGAAGATGATGATGATGATGATGATGATGATGATGATGATGATGATGGTGATGAGGAGGAGGAGGGGAAGGGAGAGGAGGGTGAGGAGCATGAAGTCAATAATGTAACACCAAAACTTTGGAAAAGTCTATTTAATGGCTTGTCGAAGCAGAAAAACAAGAAAGAAACAAGGAAAAAACAAGAGTGACTACTTCCAGAGATATTCGTATAGTAGGTTCTACAATAAAGCGATGTTATCCTCCACTCCAAGTGGTAACGGCAAGTGACAGGAACGTCGATGTTCCTCTCTGGCAAGCTACTCACAACGGGCACGCGCGAGAGAAGCAGTGCGCACGGATAGAGTGAGTGAGCAAGAGAGCGAGAGAGACGAGATGGAGGGTGAGGAGAGAACAAAGTGGTGGAGAGGAGAGCGAGCGCCCGTGAGAGCTTCGGTGCAAACGGTTTTTTTTATTGGTCAGGGCCAGGGTCGCATCTCGCTTGGCGGGAAACCTGCCTGTACTGTTAATTCATGTCTAGCCGCAACTAGCGGCGAGTTCAAAGAGGACTGTCATTGCCATTCTGTCATTTTATGGGAACCGTGTGATATTATCTTTGTTGTGAAACAAAAGAAAAACAAATAAAACATTTTATAACAGACAAACAAACAAGTTAGATCTAGTCCAAATACGAAATCAGACAACGGTGTTAATGTTTTGGGGAAAAAATTCTCAAGGCTGACTTAGTTTCAGGGACGTAATTTAACTGAAGTGTACACGCCTACATACTTTGAGTAACCCTGTGTGTCATTATTATTAAACCTGTGACTATTTTTTTGTGACATGTTTCTTTATAGTTAATTGTAAACTTATTGCAAGGTGTTTGTATATATATACATACATATATAAGGCAAAATATATTGTGCGGATTTAAGTGTGACTATTGGTTTTAAAAAAAAACGCACACAAAAAACAACAACCAACAAACCTAGCAACAAAAACGTTTGCAGCCACTTCACCCCCCCCCTCCTCCCCCACTCCTCCTCGGCGCATTTCTGATTCTGACTTCATTTTGAGTTCAAAGGACGTCGATTTATCGGATCATCTTACTCAGGGTCCAGTTCCTACGTATTTCATGTATCGGAGTTCAAAGGTTTACCTTACAATCCATGAGGTACGTTCTTTCACTTTGTCGGCTAATAACCTTTTATTATGTATGTATGAGACATGATTTGTAGTTGACACATTTTTTAATTGTAGCTATCTCCGCACATTCAGTGTTGATGTGCTTTGCTTATCCTCTGTTTTTTTAGGGGG